GAGGTCCCTTCCAACCCAGCTGATTCTATGATTCTATGATTCTCTGGGTTGGCAGCACAGTGGGCACTGAGCTGGGTTTGCCTTGCCTGGAACGTGCTTTCCAAAGTCCCCAAATCAGGAAAGAACCCTAAACTTCTGTGGGTGCTTTTGCCTCCAATCCTGCAGACACAGATAGAGAGGTGCTGCCCAGAGCTTAACACTTCAGAAAATGTAAAAGGAAAAGAGAGAGAAAGAAAGGATAAAAGTAGGAAGGTATCCAGTCAGCACCCACTGGATGCAGAGATGGAACTTGGTAGTTGCAAAGTGATGGTCTGGATCTGTCAGAGGGTGGGGGAAGTGCACAAAACTCAAAGATTTCATGAGTTACCTACACTCAGGTTCAGGTGGGAATGCCCAGTGTCTGCACTTGCTGCCCAGCAGGGCCTTTTGGAGTCTGGTTTTGAAGATGTTGGAGAAGCAACTCCAAAGGCACAAGTCCTGTGTGCTGAGCCTGGTGCTCATAAAACTATTATCCAGAAACAAGGAACTTCTGTATCACTATGGACTGAATATTAACTATGTCAAATATAGTTCAGGGGTGCTGTCAGCCTGAAGAAGAACTTGTCCCTGCTGACTTTTAGGCCAGGCCTGTGGTTCAAAGCAGTTCCAGGTACCAGCCAGTTCACCTGTCAAAGCTCACTGGGGAAACAAATTATTCCCAACTGAGTCATCTCAGAAAACAACTTGTGGTTTCAAAATGTCAGGTTTCTCTTTGACCTAAGCTTTGTGTAAAGTTTAGCAAAAGAATTCAGCATGATTTTCTCTGAGGCGAAACTGAATTTTGTGGTGGACAAAAATTAAATGTACAGTTGTATCTCATTTAGTTAAAAGAGCCCTTAGAAGAAAAAATTTTAAGTGAAACTGGAAAGACCATTTCTCTGATTTGTGCAGAAGGTGCCAAATTAATAAATTGATTATTTATTCAGGTCTGGCTTCTCACTCCCAGCAGTGCAGGTAACACAGTGAGCAGCCACAGACACAGCAGTTAACCTTTCTATTGTGTGTTTAACCATCTGTAAAATGGATATGATACTACTTACCTGCCTGACACAGCTGGACAGAGGCTTAATTTTTAATCAAGTTCTGTTGAAACACTTCGAGCTCTTTGTGTAAAAGATACACCAAAAGGCAGAATGGTTTTATGAGGGTATTATTGGTTTATATCTTATATTACCTTCCAAGAATTGTGTCAGTACGGTGAATTGTGTCAGTGTTCTGAAAATAACATAATAAAGGAAAGAAAGCATCAAGAAGCAAAAGAGATGTACTGGGATGGAGAACAGACTTTGTGACAGTCTAGGGTTCCTTCATCCCTATTAATTATACATGTGGAGCAACTTGTTAATGCATTTCTAAAGACATGTTGACACAGGCTCAGCGCTCTCTCCTGGCCACAGGCTTTTGAATTAATTGAACCCTGGGATCAGAAGAACTGGGCAACAGAGTTGGAGGCATTTCTATAACAACCAAAGGAGACCAGTAGGAACACAACAGATTTGCTGGGTCCAAGAGGGAGAGGCAGTAATGGAACACCTGCATGGGGAGCTCGTTATGAATAATTTCTGTAGAAGGCCCTGGCGTTACATTTCAGGCTGATTGTCCATGGAATATGACCAGGTATTACTCTCCATGTTATTTCTGTACCCCCTATGCCCTCCACCACTTCCAAAAATAGCGATAAAAAGACTTAATTTTACTAAGAAACTCCTGGAGTCCTGCAGGAGTTACGTTTCTAGGGTAAAACATAACTGCTTATCTTTAACAGCCAACAGAAATGGAAACCAACATTTAATTATAGTCCAACACATTGCCTAATATATGCTACAGTATTCAAATCTTACAGCATATTTTTCAGCAAATTTGACACTCCGTGTGCTTTGCAGGCACAAGCCCCCCCAAAAAATCCTGGAATTACTGCTAATTTCCACAGCAGTGGAGGTGCAGTGTCTGACCTGCAGGGCTGCTCTGGGAAGTGACTGCACATGGAGTTTTGGGAGGTTTTCTTATCACAGAATCCCAGAACAGTTTAGGTTGGAAGGGATCTTAAAGCTCAGCTCATTCCAACTCTGCCATGGGCAGGGACACCTTCCACTAGCCCAGGTTGCTCCAAGCCCCATCCAACCTGGCCTTGGACACTTCCAGGGGTGAGGCAGTGGGATGGTTTCCTCCCTGTGCCATCTCAGAACCTCAAACCACACCTGTGCTCTTTCCAAAAGAATGGAGAACAGCCTGGAACTTCCAGGGACCAAACTGGGGCAATTTCTTCAGTCTGTAGGTAAAAAAGGCAATAAACCCCCCACACCTCAATGTGATATCAAGCTATGCCAGGAGGTGCAATCATTAGCTCACAAGATTTTTATTTTCTCTTTTTCAGAGCCACTCAGAAAATCAAGACTTTCCAAATAAAACCTTGGAGTGGGTTTAAATTAAACAAAAAGCATTGCTGGACGAGACATCCCCCCTGAGTGTCAGAGCTATGGCATTGGTTTGATTATTTTGCATTGCTGATTCATTCACAGGGAAGTCCCCCCATCATCTGCCACTGAGGGTGTCTCAGAGAAATTTATAAAATCGGTTCTTAAAACAACCAAATGATTTCATCAGGCACTTTCTAAAGTAACAACAGGTTCTGAGTGTGCAGCTTGAGGTACCCTGAGGAACGGGACCTTAATATGAGCACCTGCTGCCTGGGAAATGCTAAAAATCAGAGGCATCCAAATAACATTTTTTGAAAAAGCAGAAAAGGACGGAAACATATTTTTAAAACCTGAATAACCCATCAAGTCATCCTGTGGGCATTGGGGAGAATGTCTTTCTCGTGGTGTTGGAAATTAGTAGTTGCCACACTCTGCAGAATGAGAGACAGCAGGAGCAGATCGTTCAGAGATTTCAGGTGAACTAGAAAAAAAAGCAATACTTTACCCGGCCAACCTGATGTTTAAAGAGATGCCCACACCACAGACAGGAGCTCTGCAGCCTCCCCCTTCACCCAGAGGCTGTACTGGACTTTAAGGAGTTAAAGTTCTCTTCCTCTTCCCTTTTTTTTCCCTTTCTCTCTCCCTGAGTGGCTCCAGCACTGGCTCTCATCTGAAGGGCACAGCACAGGAGTGATGTTCACATGACACCAATGACAGCAGCATGATAAGCCTATTTCTGACAGTGTGGCAAATTACTATTATGAAATCCCAGTACATTTGATTGCAGAGTGACTTTGAGAGGGGATCACACACAGCAAGGTTATGGAGGGCTCAGTGTTTACTGCAGTAATGCTGACTTACTGGAAAAGAATATTAAGAGCTCTTTAAATAAAAAAGCTTGGGAGATTCCCAATTCAGAAAACATTTGGCTGAGTATATCCAACCAAGCATTAAAATGAAAGGGGAAAAATAATCAGCAGAAATCCTTAGGCTGGTTTTTTTTCCCCATCTGATGACTCAGTGAAACGTGTTTGTTAGAGATTCACTCCAAAGGGATCAGGAACTTGAGGATGTCCTTCCCCTCTGGCATCACTCACTTCAGGAGGGAACAGGGGCTCTGTCTCCCTGTCCCAGCCTAAGGTCAGGATCTCCTAAGCCTGTACAGTGCCCAAGTTAAAAGGAGAACAAGATTCAGACAAAAAAATGAGCAGAAATGGGAAGAGAAACAGGCAGTTGATGGGCTGAGAAAGCATGGAGTTTGCCAATAAAAGAAAGAAGATACAAAACAGCAGTGTCCCACCTGCTGAATTATCATCAGCATCCCAGGGGCTGTAACAAAAGGGAGATAAATTGTCCCTGCTCCAAACAGGTTCCTTTTAAATTTATTCAATCAAATTTATCAATCAGCAAAATCAAAGAGAGGCATAAAGGGCTCAGGTTTACAGCAGGGTTTTTATCACACCTGTGGGCAGCAAAGCATTTTCATGGTGAAATAAGTTCTTAATCCACTGTCTACTAAATAAATAGTATTATTGCCTTGGGGTTTTTTTGCTTTGATGACAAAATTTTTAGTTAGGATAACTCAGGTAAAGGTCTAATTGGTTTTCTTGCTTTTATTAATTACAATACCAGCAGCTGCCTTTGCTTAGGCAAACACTGTTGCCCTGGCAGGTAAAATTAGGTGTGTGGCAAATTCAGATTTCTCTCTTCCTTTTTTTTTGCTCTTTCCCTCATCCCTGACTGAGAATTACTTCAGTGTTGGCTGAAATACATCTGCTCTCTGTAAGTGTGGACACAAAATGTAAAAACCCCTGAAGTTTAGGCAGAACCCCCTTGGTTTGTAGGAGGGTTTTTGAACAGCAAAGGAGTAAAATTTGTCTCCAAAAGCCCCCAAACAGCTGTAATTTCCTCATTTTAGCACATTTTAAGTCAAGCAGCAGATCAATACACCAAAGTTTCCTTTTCCTAATTATCTCAGTTTTCTTGTCCAAAAGTAGAGCACTCACATATTTATTTTGGGATACAGACACAACACAATCTTGTTTGTCTGACTGGAACGTGACTATTCTGGTCTCCTTTGATTACTTTTCCCAGATGAAGCAGGGGGTTGATCCCCGAGTTTAATCAGTGGGGACTTGCAGGTTTTTCTGTATTCTGCCTCCTCTGGGACAGGAGTATATTTAGCTGATGGTGGAACAAGTAGGTGGCCAGAGCCTGTCAGGGGTTCAAGCTGAGTGTCCCAGTGTCTCGGGGTGGATGTGCAGCACCCACAGCTGCCTTTTCCAAAGGTTATTTTTTGAAGGCATAAATAAATGCTCTTGGCATTTATTTCCTGGGTGCCACGTTGTGCTGTGCAGAGGCCAGGTGTTCAAATAACCTCTGCAAACATGGATTTTGCACTTTGCTGCGAGGCCTGGAGGTGATTGTTTCTGAAACCAAACTCCTGGTGGAAAAAGCTCTGGTGCTTTTGAGTGAGTGAGTGGTTATCTGTGAAAGGGGAAGAAATGACAAACTGGGGGTCTTTTTGCTCATCCAACAGATTTGGATAAATGAGACTTTTACTTCACTAGGGCCAGGATGTCACCCAGGGGTTTTTGGAGAGAGAAGTGCTGATGCTGAAGTCGTTAATGCCACACTCCTGGGAGGGTGAGCACTATTCCTATTTCCAGGGCTCAGACATTCCAGCACTGGGAGAGCTGTTAACGAGCTGGGGGGCAAAGAAACTCTCTAATTGCAGCTGTCCAGCGCGTGGCAAAGTGCCACAGACAAAGCCAACCAAAAAAACCCACCCAAAACCTCATGACTTCATGCAACGATTGGACAAACACTGGAATTTTCCACCATCTTTTGACATTGGTTTCTTACCTTAAAATTACACATATTTCCTCTGCAAGGTTTGTTTCACAGGGAATATGTTACACCAATAATGCTCACCCTCCTCGTAGCGTGGGTTTTGGTGACTTGCTTCGTTTCAGGAACTTCAGAAACTTGGTAGCTTTGGCTAAAACATCTTGTGGGTTTTTATGGGAAGTTCCAACACTGTGGGAGGAGAAGAGGGCAGAGGGAACACCCACCTTTCACCAGGGGCTCTCCCTCTGAAACCAAAGGGACATTTGGTGGTGTTACACAGAGATCTGCCCCCAAATCTCATCATGGCAGTGCTGGGTGTCGAGGTTGAGACTGGCTAATTGGACAGGGTGGGGTTTAATCTATATAGAAAAATCTGTATAGAAAAAGTGGGGCAAGGGGGGAGAATGCCCCCCAAAACTTTGAAGCACAAGTGGACAAGTGGATGCAAAAGAAAGGGGACTTCTTGGGAACCATTATGGTCTAAAAATGGGATTATTTTTATCCCTGAGAGCTGTATAGTAACAGCCTGACCATAAGTCTTTCACAGCCAGTTGGAAATCTTTCCACTGTTTTCAATTTACTTTGGACCATATTGTGTGCAATTCATCTCAGGCTGTAGAATTCCTAATTTTCCCCTGGAAATGTAGTCTGGGGCCCTGCTGTGTTATATATATTACGATGCCATTTGCAGTAGGGGCTGAAGACAATGACAAATGCTGGTTTCACAGCAAATCTCTGCTCAGGTATTTCAGCTTAGTCATACAGTGGCTGATCCTCCACAGCGAATCTGAATATCAATATTTACCTTGTACAGGCAATCTGTGGTACTCCTGGCACAGGAATTCCAAAGGACACGTGAAAAGAAGGAAATAATCTCTGCAGAATTCTAAAAAGAGACAATAATTACCAACAGTGGGGTCTCCTTAAAATAGGCCTGGAAGTTTGCTGTGACTCAATGTGTTTTAAGGAAAGAAAAATGTTATTTTAACGGCGGAGCTGGCAAATTGCACCGTTTGGATTCCACAGCAGCAATGGCTGTGAAACCCATGATTTAAAAGCTGCTATTTCTCGCTGTCTGAAGCTAAACACACTTTTTTATTCTAACAAATCTGAATAAAATTAGAGCACTCTGCATAAATTCCCCCTGCCTCTGCGCCTGCTGTCTTAGCTCGAGGCAGAAGCAGATGCCTGTGATTTCTAAGACTGCCAAACCAGCACCAAAAGCCAAAGTTACGTTCACCTTAAAAACCCACAAAATTTATTC